AAATATGAGAAACAAAAATTTATAGCTTTGGATCTGATTCTTAAACATGTTGCACACGGGATTCCTACTAGTTAGGCGCTTGATTTCATTAAAACATACCAGTTTTCGAATCCCCATAGAAGCAAAAAAATTTCTTTTTTTTTTTAACACAGCCCCCCAAACCCTACTTCGACAGCCACCCCAACCCCGGCCTGTGCTTAGTGGGATTTCCCTACTTCTGTACTTCCCCAATCCCCTGAATATAATAGCGCTTCAGTACGTTCAAAAAAAGCCAACTTATTATCATACGATCTTAATACCCAATGATTGAGTCCACGACATGACCAGATGGCCATATAAAGTTGCAAATGGTAATCCTACGAAAGAAATGAAAGAAGCCAAACCAGAAGAAGAAGAAGAAGATCCAAACCAACCAGTAAACGACTATACTATACATAAGAAAGAAGAAGGCCTAGGTGTCCAAACGAATTATTAAATTATTATTATATCTCGTCACTGTATCAGAAGAACTCTCTGTCTCCATCCCTTGTCTATCTCTCTCTAAACTTTGCCATGTGCGCCTCACGCTCCATGCTCCCTTCCCTTCGTCTTCTTCCCCATTATTGCGTACAGTAACATGCAGCTCAAGCCAGCCAGGCCATCAGTTTCAGCAGCGACGACCGCATATTCGATTCCGTCGACGGAAAAGGATCAACTGGGTCAGTGTTAGCCTGTTAGGCGAACCGTGATCAAACCTGGGCCCGTAACTAGTTTAACCTAATCGCTTTAATGAAGATAGGCCTTTTTAGTTTAATGACGCCCAATCCATCCGGCCCAATTTCTAGGGCCCAACTGTTGTAGCTGCTTCCTTCCTTCCTTCCTTCCTTGCTGTTTGGCGTCATGACTCATAAGTGACGTGTGTCCTGAGCTGGCTCCATGTTTCGAAAACTTTTAAGAAAGTCTTTGCTTTGGGCATGCGACGTCATACGATACGTTGCGCCAGCGTCTGCACAATCCAGAAAATAGTCAAAGGAATTAAATTTAAAATAGTCAAAATAATGTTTTTCGATGAATAATATCTGTTTTTTTTTTGGTGAATAACAACTTGGATCACTGAACGTCCAAACTTTTAACATATTGGTCATACAATTTAATAGCTACTGAGTATCGTAATTATTAATTACTTCATATGTATACTAGTGAAAGTAGTGAGATTATGCCCCCCAAGAGTACAGCTAGAATTATTCTCCACCATTTGTGATTTGCTGCCAAAATTATCATAATATAACTCGAAACGCGAGAAATGAACGCATTCAGATTAGGAAAAATTGAATTTTTAAGCTAAAATTCATTAGAATTTAGCACAAGAAAATTGCATAAACTCTGTTCAACTCACTATCCACCACCTAGTCCAATATTGTTGGGTTTTCAAAATTTGATTAGTTTGGTGACTAATTTGATAGCATCTCAAAATTCCAATAACCAATGAGTAAATTAACACTGTTAGCGTTTGTCAACGGAAAAACAACGCAGCAGCCGGCAGCAACTAACGCCAGCTGCTTCATTCTTCCAGAAAGCTATAAATAAGCTGTAGCACGGGACCCAGAAAATTTATCCGAAACCCAAACAACCAACCCAACCCAACTAGATTCATCAACGAATTTCTCCCTTTTCTTCTTCGTTTCCTTTCCTGGATTCCTTTGTTTCTCTTGCGCCTTCTTCCCCAAGCTAACTCCCTCTACTTCTTAAACCCCTCAAAAAATCTTTGTTAATCGTCATTTCGCATTCCCCATCGTCCACCGGGAAATCATGGAAGAGCAGAAGGGATCGTCACCGTCGTCGGGGACGGGACGCCGGCTGGTGGTCGTCGGAGGCGGCGTTGCCGGTTCAATGCTCGCCAAATCTGCCCAATTCACCGCCGACGTCACCCTCATTGACCCGTACGCTCTTTCCCCCTTCCCTAATTGTGGTTTTATAGTGATTGAATTTCTGTGGGCTTATGATTCCTTTAGCTGTTAATTTGGGAATGGAGTGTTTGAAGATGGGGAAGTGCTTTGGTTGCTCTGTTCTTTCTTTCAATTGCTTTGCAATTCGCGTTCTGAAAACTGAGAACTTTCAATTCGAAGCATCTCCAGGCATCTGCATGTTTGGCGATGGTGATTTTTGGGGAACTTTGAACTTAATGTCTCCTTTTATTTGGAAAAATTCCATCAGAATTCAGCAACTTCTTAGAACCCTAGCTTGCCAGAGGAATTTGTAGGAGGAAAGCGATAGCTTTTCTACTCGTTCCCAACAATTTTGTGCAATGCTGTTAGCCTTATGGTAGTGATCACATTAAACTGAATTGGTGATTTTAAACAGGAAGGACTATTTTGAGATCACATGGGCAAACTTGAGGAGCATGGTCGAGCCTTCGTTTGCAGAGAGAGCAGTGATCAAGCACCGAGATTACTTCACGAATGGGCGCGTCATAACGTCCAATGCTGTCAATATCACTGAGAAAGAAGTCATAACCGAGGAGGGCGAAGCAGTTGGATATGACTATCTTGTTATTGCAACTGGCCACAAGGATCCTGTTCCTAAGACTAGGAAGGAAAGACTTGCTCAATACCATTCAGGTAAAACACAATGAAATGGAAATTCAAGCTCTTCGCTTTATCCCTTGCATTACTTTTAATTCATGTCAGGGATAGTCATAGAACAGAAGTGAAGGCTGGATTGCATTTCTACTTGATGCCTAGCTAGCCATGAAGCTTAAGTTAAGATGTGTTTTGCTCCTATGTGTCGGTTTAGCTTATCCGTTTTTGCTGGTACTTTGTATGTGCAGAAAGTGAGAAGATCAAGTCTGCTAGGTCCATTTTGATAGTCGGAGGGGGTCCTACCGGTGTTGAACTTGCTGGAGAAATCGCTGTTGATTACCCCGAGAAGCAGGTTACACTTGTTCATAATGGTTCAAGGCTGCTGGAGTTTATTGGGCCAAAGGCCGGAGCTAAGGCGTTGAAATGGCTGAAATCAAGGAAGGTTGAAGTGAAGCTGGAGCAGCGAGTCGATCTGGACAATATTGTCTCAGATGACGCTGGCAGCAAAACATATCATACCTCATCCGGTGAAACTATCCAAGCAGATTGCCATTTCTTGTGCACCGGGAAACCACTGGCCTCGTCGTGGCTTAAGGATACCATGTTGAAGAGTCACTTGGATGGTAAGGGGAGGCTGATGGTTGATGAGCATTTGAAAGTCAAGGGCACAAACAATGTGTTTGCTATCGGAGATATCACCGACATCCCTGTAAGTTGAATCCCCCCCTGCCCTTAGTAAACTAATAATAGGTTTCTTTACCGACGAGAGCGCTGCAACATGGATTGCAGGAGCTCAAGCAAGGGTACTTGGCGCAAAACCATGCCTCGGTAGTTGCAAAAAACCTCAAGGTAACTTTGAACGGAGGAAGGCCGTGCAGAATGAGCACTTACAAGCCAGGATCAGACTTGGCAATCGTCTCACTGGGAAGAAGAGAAGCAGTGGCACAGTTCCCATTTACAACAGTTAGTGGCGTTCTTCCAGGCTTGATCAAATCCAAAGACTTGTTTGTGGGGAAAACCAGAAAGGCGATGGGGCTAGACCCTAATGTTGCAGACCACTGAAGCATTGATTTGTTGGTAAAAACTTGGTGTGACCGTGTTGTATTTGTTTGTATGTCTTCCATACTGTTTTTCTTTCTCTGTATTAAGGTTCAGCTGTGAGGGTTACGCCATGTAATGTTATGAGCTTATAGGTTCGAGCTTGGCCAAGTTGTTGTATGATTTCTTTGTAGGGTTGAATCCCGGCATTCCGGGCAATGCAATAAATAAACTTTCGGGTCGTTTGGAAGTTGCGATTGTTAAATAGATGTATTGTTGAAAATGCATGTATAATATTATACATGTATTGTCGAATTTTATGCATTGTAGAATACAACGTTTGGTATGTGTGATTGTGTATGTCGCATCAGCTAAAAGCTGAGACAACAATCTCAACTCAACTATCTCAACAATCACAACGAAAAGTTGAGATATAACAATCACTCAAAATGAGTGATAGTTTCTATCACATCACAGAAACAATCCATGTGTTGTTTCTGCTAAAAAAACAAAAAAACGATGCATTATAAACAATACATGCATAATGACAATCTCAACAAAACTATCGAAACTCCTAAACGACCCTTTATTAGGAGTAGGACTTAGTTGGGAGATTTTGCGCTGGTATAGTTGGGTTTTACGCGGATCATAATCAAACTTGGGCCGTAACTAGCTTATCCCTCGACTTGAATGGAGATGGGCCTTGGTTTAATGACGCCCATCCGGCCCAATATCCAGGGCCCAGTTTCCATGATGCTTCCTTCCTTTGCTGTTTGTCGTCACCTCCTCGAAGGATTGACGTAAGTCTTGACGTGTTCCGTGTTTCATCCATGCATGGATTTTCGTCGAAAGCTCCCCCAGTTCCAAAATTAAAAATGACAACAAGAACTGGCCCTCCCCTAGTCAAATTGAAATAGTTACTTTTAGTGACTCTTTTGCTTTTTTGGCAAATAACAATTTAGTCATCGCACTTCCGAAACTCTACTCATTCGTCATACAATTTAATAGCACCTAGTTACGACAACGGAGTTACAAGAAGTTCAAGAGGTGCTACAATCTCTCCTAAATAATTGATCTGAAATAATTATTCGTGAATTCATATACTGAGAAAATATTGGAAAATATCAGCATAAGAGATTTTAGCTTGTTACTCCAAAATTTAATTTAATTGTGAATTTCATTTATTTTTTATTTACTATTAGTGAAAATTTGTTTACTCTCAATTTCATTATCAATGTATAGAGTATCACTCACTAATTGAGTATATTTCGATAAAATAATATAATATTGTAACTTTGTCAAAATTTAATTAGTTTGGTGTCTGATTTGTTAGACTCGACAAATTTGAATGATTAACGAGTAATTCAACACTAGATTCGTCAACGATTTTTTTTATTCTTTTTGATGAATCGTCAACGATTTTTTTATTCTTCGTTTCCTATCCTGGATTCCTTTGTTTCTCACTCTTGCGCCTTCCTCCCCAAGCTAACTCCACTACTTCTTAAACCGCCCCAAATCTTCGTCAAATCGTCATTTCGCATTTCCCATCGTCGACCGGAAATTATGGAAGAGCAGAAGGCATCGTCGTGGGGAACTGGCCGGCGGCTGGTGGTCGTCGGAGGCGGCGTTGCTGGTTCAATGCTCGCCAAATCCGCCCAATTCACTGCTGACGTCACCCTCATCGACCCGTACGCTCTTTCCCCCCCTGATTGTCGTTTATGGCGATTCCGTTTATGTGGGTTTATGATTGCTTTAGCAGTTAACTGATGAATGGAGCCTTGGAGATGAGAAAGTATTCCGGTTGCCCTGTTCTTTCTTTCCAATTGTTCTGCACTTCGCATTCTCAAATTGCGGACTTCAATCTAGTCATCTGCATGTTTGGGAATGGTGGATTTATGAGAAATTTGAACTTCGTATCTCCTCCTATTTGGAGGAATTCAATCCGAATTGAACGCATTCCTTAAACCCTAACTTACCAGGGGAATTTTTTTAGGGGAAAATGACTTGCTTTACTCTTTGTTCTCAACCATAGTGCGAAATGCTGGGAGCCTTTCTTTCCTTTTTGATAAGTGATTGCTGGTGATCACTTTAACCTGAATCAATGATTTGAAACAGGAAGGACTACTTCGAGATCCCATGGGCAACCTTGAGGAGCACGGTCGAGCCTTCGTTCGCAGAGAGAGCAGTGATCAAGCATCGAGACTACTTCACGAATGGGCGCGTTATAACTTCCAATGCAATCGATGTCACCGAGAAAGAAGTCATGACTGAAGATGGGGAAGCAGTTGGCTACGACTATCTCGTCATTGCAACTGGCCACAAGGATCCTGTTCCCAAAACTAGGAAGGAAAGGATTGCTCATTACCATTCAGGTAAACACAACAGCATTCAGGCCCTTTTGCTTTATACCTTGCCTTGCTTTTAAATTCATGTTAGGGATACGCATAGAACAGAACTGAAGGCTTGGTTCCTGTTACTTTGTATGTGCCCAGAAAATGAGAAGATCAAGTCAGCTAGTTCCGTTTTGATTGTTGGAGGGGGTCCTACGGGTGTTGAACTTGCTGGAGAAATCGCTGTTGATTACCCCGAAAAGCAGGTGACACTTGTTCATAATGGTCCAAGGCTGCTGGGGTATATTGGGCCAAAGGCTGGAGACAAGGCGTTAAGATGGCTGAAATCGAGGAAGGTTGAAGTGAAGCTGGAGCAGAGAGTCGATCTAGACAATGTGTTGGATGACGAAGGCAGGAGAACGTATCGTACCTCATCCGGGGAAACTATCCAAGCAGATTGCCATTTCTTGTGCACTGTGAAACCGGTAGGCTCGTCCTGGCTCAAGGACACTGTGTTGAAGAGTCACTTGGATGCTAAGGGAAGGCTGATGGTTGATGAGTATTTGAAGGTCAAGGGCAGAGACAATGTCTTTGCCATCGGAGATATCACGGACATTCCTGTAAGTTGAACCCCCTCTTCTTTAGCTGTTAGTCATTAATTAAACTGATAGGATTCATTACTGACGCTGCAAAATCGATTGCAGGAGCTCAAACAAGGGTACTTGGCTCAGAACCATGCTTCAGTAGTTGCGAAAAACCTGAAGGTGACTTTAGAAGGAGGAAAGCCCTGCAGATTGAGCACTCACAAGCCAGGAGCAGACATGGCGATGGTTTCACTGGGCAGGAGGGAAGCTGTGGCACAGTTCCCGTTTGCAACAATCAGTGGCATTGTTCCTGGATTTGTCAAATCCAGAGACATGTTTGTAGGGAAAACCAGAAAGGCGATGGGGCTAGATCCTAATGTTGTAGAACATTGAAGCATGGGTGTTTTGATGGTTCGTGTTGTATGATGTGTTCTTAGTAGGATTGGGTCAACCGAACTTACAAATAAATTAAGATTCAAATTGAATGTTGTTATGCATACGTGACAATGTGAATCTTAATTTGTGCAATAAACATCTATATATATACATGTTTGCCAATAAAATGTAACTTGGGGTGCAAGTAAGGGGGATAATGCACCCAGGCCCAGAACTCTGAGGAGGGTGAATTAAAGTTACGATCTCTTGATTGTGTTTATACCCAGAAAATAATAAAATTATGAGATTTTCGCTTCATGATAACAAGTACTTCAACATGTGAGTTTCGGTGTTCTCTATATGTCATAACGTAAATAGTCGAGTAGCCATCGAAAGAGACTATGGAATGTGGTTTTGAAATGCATGCATGTACAAAATCAAATTGTGATATCCAACAGCATTGGTAGTCAATGGTAGAATTTGACTTGCATATCAAAGACTTCTGTACTGTCTTCTATTTCATGGTGTAGGAAACAAGGATTCCTACAGAATGAGAATTGGGGAAATTAGCTAGATCAATTAGGGATTGATCTAACTAGGGATTAGAATTGGGGATTTTTAGAACAAGAAGAGGGAAGAAGAGGAGCTGCTGCCGCAGCTTTGGAACAAAGAGGGAGAGAGAGAATTCGCAGGAGAGAGGGAAGAGAGAGGTTTAGGATTTAGGTTTTTAGTTCTGTAATTGCTTCCCCCAAAATAAGACCCTATTACAGATTATATAACCTGTCAAATTCCTATCTGCTACCCGAATAATAAAACGTAACAATTAACTCCCTGTTTATTCCCCCAAGTACCCAAATAATACCCCAATCAATAAAAACCGACTCTAATACGAAATAACCGAAAACTGCTAATAATTGTGTTTCCCACATCCCCTCTTCCTTCGAAAAACAACCTTGTCCTCAAGGTTGTTCCTCCATCTTACTAGGTCTCTTCCTCCCCATTTCCGGCGTCCTCCTCCTCATCCTCTGCTTCATCTTCCCAGCGTCCCACTAACATCATCAAATCCGGCTTCGGGCACTGGTGACCAATGGTGAACCGACCATCACAGTTGAAGCACTTGCCCTCCCGCCGCTTCTGCTCAATCTCTGCTGGCGTCAGTCGCACGAACCCCTTTGGTATGGCCCTCGGCCCCATCCTGGCTACTGGCGCAGGGCCTCCACTGCCCGCGTTGGCTCCAGTCGAGCCTCCCCCAGTTGCCCCTCCTGTGCCGCTACTAGCGCTGCTGCTTCCTCCTCCTCCGCCTGGCTTTGAGAAGCGGCCAATGGTGCTTCTCCAGCTAGCCAGTTCTTCCTCCTTATGACCTGCAAGACGAAAAGCAGTTTTCACCGAATCGGGCTCAAACACCCTGACTGTCGCTGCTATCTCGGGTTTGAGACCCGCCATGCACAGCCCCACCAAGGTGTCCTCCGAGACTCCCTTGCACTGGTTCCCCAACTTGAAGAACTCTGCACGGTACTCAGCCACTGTGCCGGTCTGCTTCAGCTTTGCCAACTGCTCAGGAGCCCACCCATCTGACTTCCCAAACTGATAACGGAGCTCCTCCTAAAACATGGGCCAGGTGATCAAGGTTGCTGCTGCTGCATAGGATCTCTCCATCCACTCCCACCATTGGAGCGCATCGCCCTCCAGATAGAACGAGGCCAGATAGGCTTTCCTCTCCTCCGGAATTGGGTGATTCTTAAACCACCTCTCCACTGCATACAACCAAAGACCTGCATCCTTCTGCCCATTGAATTTGGGAAACTCAATGGTAGGAGGCTTAGCTCGAAAAACTATCCCATCCATGCCTTCATAGTTCGAATATTGGGGCCCATACCTGTCATTACCCGGCGTCTTCCACGGCTGCCCCCACTGAGAGCACTGCATCAGGTTCGGATTTCCGTGCCCATACCCACCTGGGTAATCGCCCTGCTGATACGGGTATCCCCCTCGAACCGGAGGCGCCTCGTATGAGCCCTCTCCTCCTCCTGGACCTCTGCTGTCCACCCGCCGGTGTGTCTGAGCAGTAGGGCTCGGTCGGTGCCCGGTTCGACCCACCTCGGGTCGGCCCATCCCGGTCCGCCCCGGTCCGGTTCGGCTCAACTCGGTCCGATCAGCACTGGTCCGACCAATCCCGGTTCGGTCCGACCCCCTCCTGGCCCGCCCGCCTATCCCGGCCCGATAGGAGCCGACCCGCCCGGCCCCACCTGGTCAGCGGCCCTACTCGGCCCACCAGGCCCCCTCTGGCTCATCTCCTGTTCAGCCCACTGGGCCTGCTGGCCCGCCAAGCTTAGTTGGTCATACTCAGGCCCACCTTCCAGATCCAGCCATCCCAGCCCGTTATGGACCCTTGTGTAGTGACCCAGCTGCCCCGGCCCACCATTCATAGGAGGCCCATCTGTGTCATACCCAGCCATCTTAGCCTTTCCTTTGCGGGCCGCAATTTCTTGGGCCGTGGGTGTAGGTAACAGGCCCGAGCCTGAGCCCAGCCCTACTGCCGTCCGACCAGCCCGGCCCGGCCCAGCATCAGCCGCCCTGCTCCCTTCGACCCTCTCGACTGGCGCGGCAGCCTGGGCCGCCGCTGCCCCCGCCGTGATCGCCCCGCCGCCGGGCTCGCTGCCGCCCCGACCTCCGTCGCCGTGGCCCCCGCTGGCGCCGCTAGCGCCGCCTGCGCAGTCGCCCCGCCGCCCGCAGCCGCCTCTGCAAACGTCGACTCCGCCGTGATCGGTGCTCCTTCTGGGCCGCTTCCTCTTGCCTGCAACGAGGTAATTGCCCTCATCAGCCTGCACTCTTGCCAGGCCTTCTTCGAGCCTAGCCAGCGCATCAGAGTGCTCGTGCACTACCTCCTTCACCGCCTCCAGCTCAGTGAGGTCCTCCATCACCACCCCTTCGTTAGGAACCTCGCCCGTCTCGGAACTCCTCCCGGCAGCCTGCGCTGCCTTTTCCGCGGCCTTCATTGATTTGGTTGATACCATCGTTGCCTTGCCTGGTTCAAGAGTTCAGAGGAACTCACTCTCGAGCCAGGCTCTGATACCAGATGTAGGAAACAAGGATTCCTACAGAATGAGAATTGGGGAAATTAGCTAGATCAATTAGGGATTGATCTAACTAGGGATTAGAATTGAGGATTTTTAGAACAAGAAGAGGGAAGAAGAGGAGCTGCTGCCGCAGCTTTGGAACAAAGAGGGAGAGAGAGAATTCGCAGGAGAGAGGGAAGAGAGAGGTTTAGGATTTAGGTTTTTAGTTCTGTAATTGCTTCCCCCAAAATAAGACCCTATTACAGATTATATAACCTGTCAAATTCCTATCTGCTACCCGAATAATAAAACGTAACAATTAACTCCCTGTTTATTCCCCCAAGTACCCAAATAATACCACAATCAATAAAAACCGACTTTAATACGAAATAACCGAAAACTGCTGATAATTGTGTTTCCCACACATGGGTTAAGGATGAAGGACTAATATAAGATCAGTAGAATGTTTGTGTGGTCTGGGTTGGATATGCAGAAACATGGTATGTAATTGTAGACCATTAACTTTTCAACCCAAGCGATGAATAGTCTATCTTTTTTCATGGAGAGAAATTCCTTAATAGTCAAAAACTTACACCAAAGTGGAAGTGAAAGTGAAAGAGGAAATATGTAAAGCGGGCCTTTTCATGCAAAATCAAACCACATGGTAATTTTGATAACCATTATGTGTTGGTAACTTCTGCTTTTGGTCCATTTGGAAAAAGGAAGGCTCGACAACATTGATCGGAAGGAGTGGGGGAGTCAGGACTTGAAATTAGGTGTGTTATTTTTTCTATAATATAAATACATAAATAAATACTTAATACATATAACAGGAATTGAGCTATTGTGTAGTGACAAGATACCGTTACATCACTTAGAAATGACGAGTTTGATCTATTGCATAAATATAGATATAAACTTATTTTTTTTTTATACTAAAACTAACTTGTGTCTTGTGACAAATCCAAAAGGCCCTGCCTCCGCCTATGATCGGAAGGGAGGGATAGGTGTAATGGGTTAGGGTTAGATACTTAGACTAGTGATGAAGAGATGCTAAATCACATTTATAATTTTAGGCTAAATTACACGATTGGTCACTCGAATTATATAAATCTTTCACGTTTGCCACCCAAATTACTTTTCTTTCTTATTCGCCACTAACTTTACGAATCGTTTCACCATTAGTCACTGGCCGTTAGTCTCCGCCAAACTCCGTTAACTCCGTCAGTTTTTTTATGACATGGCAAACAGAACCGTTGACTGGACAGTTGACCTAATTACATGTCAATTTACAAAAACAAAAAAAAATATTAATTAATATCTCATCCTCTCACTCCGCATTTCACAAGCTGCTTCTGCCGAGCCCTCGTCGGCTTCTTCTCGTCGGTGTTCCTCAATGCCTCGCTTTCCTCTTCGATCTGGGAACCGGCGACGGATTGGAAACTGTTTCTCATCGATTCGGCCATGTGCGGCGACCATAAAAATATTGGATTCATTTGCTTGTTCAATTGGTTGATTACTTGATTGTGGGCTCGAAAATAAAAATTGACAATTTACCAGGAGTAGCGAATTCGATCTCCAGTTTCCATTTTGTTTTGGGGGTGAAGTGTTATCATTTAGTTTTTGGTTATTGGGAGATCAGTTTATGCAGGGTTGAAACCCTTCTACAAGGAAGAAGACGAAGCCGCACCGGTGAACTTGTATGGTAAGTCAATGGTGGCTCCACCGATTGGATCTCGACGCCGCCGTATCCACATTGCTTGACAATAATGTCACAGATAGAAGAACCCAGATGGCGGCTGTAAATTGACGCCTTCGCCGAAAATCGCCTAGCCCATAGATCCGCTCCACTGTACCGGAAATAGCCCAGCCCAGAGATCCCTTCCTCTCTCTTCTTCGTCGGCAAAGCCCAGAGCTTGAAATCAATAAATTCCTACACTCAATATGTCTCGACGAAACCCAGAAGCTTCGGCGGCAAAGCCCAGATCTTGGGATAGCCCCTTCTCTTCCGTCGATCTAATCGTTCAGGTAAAAAATCTTGAGGTTCGTAAATCTTCTCTTTTCTCTGATTTTGATTTCCTATTTTCGTAGGGAGCTGCAATGGTTAATTCAGAACTAGCTATTGATGTCGATGAATATACTGATTTACTATGAAATAATTTTATTAGGTGGGTCATGAATCTTCGCACAAGTTAGATTTAGAGAGAGTATTTTGCATTTTTCATTTTTTTTTTTTAAATTGACATGTCATTAAGTTGACAGCCCAGTCAATAGTTCCGTTTGCCACGTCATTAAAAAACTGACGGAGTTAACGAAGTCTAACGGAGATTGACGGCTGGTGACTTACGGTGAAACGATTTGTAAAGTTAGTGGCGAATAAGAAAGAAAAGTAATTTGGGTGGCAAACGTGAAAGATTTATATAATTCGAGTGACCAATCGTGTAATTTAGCCTATAATTTTATTTACATGCAAACTAAGTCCTATTACAACAAATTAGGTGAAGTAAGTTACGAACACCAAAAAAATCGATTACTATTAATCACTTTGTTGTTACATTCCAAAAAGCATAGAGTTTTTCAACAAAATCCAGAACTAGAGTGCAAAAAAGAAACAGATCCACTGCGATCAATCAAAGAAATTGCATCCCCTTGTCTTTGGAAGAGACAAGAAGTAAATGGAGGGCATCATTACGAATGGTGATAAGAGAAGAGGAGAAGCAAAATCACCAGCCAATGCCAAAAATTTACCCAATTCCAAAAAGACTAATACAAGAATTAAGAACTAATAAGAATTGGGGAAAGGGATATAAGGAATTATGACCTCCTTCTGATCAGCCTGTTGTTTTGCTGTCACTCGTCAGTCATCAGATCTCTTTCTTTCTCTCCGTGTTGGTAGTCAGAACACCCGAAAAAGGGAATCCGCAAGGATAACGGAAACTGAAAGGGACTCACTTCTAGTGGGAACTGGGAAGACATTTCTGATTGTACTATCAGCGTCCAGTTTCTTATAATACCTTTTGGCAATTTATGGCGTCAGCCCTTTGGTAACATAAAGTCCAAGTACAACTGGCTCTGGCTGCAAACTAAATTTTCTCTTTTTTTAATGATGAGAGATCTTGTTACATCTATCTAAGGGGTCGTTTGGATGGATCAATCTAGAAATGAGTCAATTTGATCAATTGTCTCGTTTTATAACGAGTCAATTCGAATTACCTGCCCCCACCCCAGGTAATTGAAATTGACTCAAAACGAATCAATTCAAAATAACTCAGACAGATTGATCCATCCAAATTTTTTGCTGCCAAACGAGGCAATTTGGTACAATTGTCTCAAAACGAGACAATTGTGTCAAATTGATCCGTTACAATTCCTCATCCAAACGACCCCTAAGATTGTCACTAAACTGAAGCCCTAATTAGAAAATGCTTAGGTTTTCAAATGTATGTGAAGCACACTTAAACAACCGGGAATAGGTGATGTTTTTATGATGTATGCTGAGATTGAAAGGGTCTAAAACGATGTTGATATGTGCAAGCACAAGTATCAACAGTACTTTTACGTAAATATTTTCTTTTGTCAAACCCTACTAAAAATTAAGATAGTTTATATTGTGCTCAATTAGTCAAACAGTTTCTAGCCGACTTAATTATACTATTCACATTTTTAAAAAATTCTTGTGTTCCAGATTTCCAAAAGGATTATAGATGGTATTTCACCGTGTTTATGCTCTGTTTTTTTGTATAACATGTTTGTCATGCATTATGTTTTGTTGAACTCAACACCCCAATCTCAAAGATTAGCCAAATTTAAATCACGAACTTTTAGTCGATGGAGTATTGAGAACTAGTTAATCTCAGCAATTTGAATATTGAGGGGTCGTTTGAAAGTTGCGATTGTTTTGTTAAGATTGTCATTATGCATGTATTGTTTACAATGCATCGTTGTTTTTTTGTTTTTTTAACATAAACAATACATGGATTGTTTTTGTGATGTGACAGAAACTATCACTCATTTTGAGTGATTGTTATATCTCAACTTTTAGTTGTGATTGTTGAGATAGTTGAGTTGAGATTGTTTTGTCTCAGCTTTTAGCTAATGCAACATACACAATCACACATACCAAACGTTGTATTCTACAGTGCATCAAATTCGACAATACATGTATAATATTATACATGCATTCTTAACAATACATCTATTTAACAATCGCAACTTCCAAACGACCCCTGAATACAAAAGTGACTAAGGATGTATATGGTTTTTCTTTTTTTCATTTGAAAGGAGGAGGGAGAGTTTATTTTTACCTTATAGAATCCCCTCTTTCAGGTGATCTTCCTTTTCCTCCTTCCCTCCAATGAAAAACGAACTGAAGACTGATTGATAGATAGAGAAGATGATTAGATGACAGCAAGCAACGAAGCAAGCACGAAAGTAATAGGGTGGCAATGACGCAATGACGTTGCCTGTGGCCATCACCTCCATCATCGCCTCCCTACTCCATTAACGGCGCCTCCCTCACCACCCTCAGGTGCTTTTGCCCTTCCTTCGCCTGACAAATTATTATTACCATTTGGATATATACGCAGTTTAGAAGAAGAATATAATTACATTATCTTATGCAGAGAAGAGAAGATCCCCTCCCCTGTTCTCCTCTGTTTCGCTCTCTCTCCCTCTGTCTCTCTTGTGATGTGGCTGTTTGATATGGAACACATTAGCTGTATTCTGTATATCGCCCAAAGAAGATCCTTGTAATAATGAAACCAAAATTTCCTCTACAAACGGCTGCTCTGTGTAATCATTTGCTTCCACTACTAATCTCTGATCTTCCTCTTTCTCTCTCCCTCCAAAGTCGCTACCTAGCTTGCTGGTATAAATAGAGGGAAGATGTTCTCTGTTTACAGAACTCACCTCAACTCCTACTCATCTTCCTCCCCTAAAACGTAAACATCTGTGTCTTTCTTAACACTGCCCACCAAAACTTCTTAGTAAACAATGGCGTCTTGTGTCAACTCCCTGAACAAGCTCCCCCCTTGCTGCGTACTCACAACAGCAGCATTCCTATTTCTGGTTTTCTCATCCCTTGTCATAGCCGCCCACAATGAAGCTTCAATCTTTCCACCGTCCGCAGCTTCACCAGCAGCCCGCACCAGGAAGGTATGGTTCTCTGTCTTCTATATTTCCTCTCTCTCTCTCTTTTATCCATCCACTTTGGTATTGCTCTTATTGACATATCTACAACTCTGTCCTGTGCGGTTCAGGTTCTGCTTGCTGCAGTGAAGGGTTCCAACAATAAAAACTTCATCTTTGCTGCTGGAGGAGGTAAGGCTGGGGATCATCAGGAAGAGTTGAGATCAGTTCCATCAGGACCAGACCCTTTGCACCATAACGGTGGTAGCCCCAAGAAGCCCAGACCTTCTTCCCCTTGATCTTTGTTCATGTAAAGCAGGAGGCTTTTGCCGTTAGCTAACTAGCAACATCTTCAGATTATGCTTATTCCATTCAGTACATGCAGGCCCTGCTTTGCACTGTGTTCCATGCAACTACGTGCCCTTCCTCTGTTTTCCTCCCTCCCTGTTTTGGGCTAATTTTGTAGTAGCAAGCTTTCTGCTGTTACCTCTGTTGGAACTGCAGACGTAAGAAATGGTGTATATTAATCATATTAACTAAATTATCGCTCACCTTTTTCTTGTTTACTTTTTAGTTTTTACCATTCCAACATATAAAAAGGAAAGGTAAAAAGTTGGGACAGATGAAAACAAAAAGTGGTCAGTAAATAGCAATCAAATCATAACCTGGATCCGCAGGTACTACTCTACTACAAAGCAAAGCAGCAACTAGATGCCCTGTTGCTACGATAGTGACAGAAAGAGGTAAATCCCTTCCCAGAGTGACGCTGCTGCTAACGTAATGCAGATTGTGTATAAAGATAAACAATGCTGTCCATGTCAATCAAACTCAGAATTTGGCGCGATTTTTAAATTAGTTATGACATCACCTTTTCTACTTCCTCCGATGATTTCTCTACTCCTTGCTAATGAATGCAAAAAACACATAACCAGTACTGCAACTGAACTATATTTGGATAGATTCCATCCCCCTGACGGGACTCAAAAAGGATTGCATAGCTCCAACATATTCACTGCAAGTCTTGCCAGCAATCCATTTTGTTACCTCTGAAACCAAAAGTGGCTAAAAGAGGAACAACAAGGCTTATAAGTTATAACAGCATATGATATCAGTCAAGAGAACAAACTGAGTTCAATTTAATAGCTTTAAGTACATTCACACTTTCCTGATGGCCTTCTGGAGATTCATTTGCTCTGCAATCTCTTACTGCTCTTGATAGACATCTTGTTCATTGGCCTGTGGATCATATCCTAGTAACTTCAGATCGTGAGATAATAGCTGTAGTATACCATATATATGCTCAGCATCATCATGAGATTTATCGCCAGCCACAAACTCATGAATGCTCGGTCCAACTTCAATCGAGCTAAACCCTGGTGTCTTTCTTATTCCAAGCGCCTTCATTTTCCTCCTAACATTGCTAGCTCCTTCCCACTTCCCTGCACCCGCGTATAGATTGGCCAGTATCACATAATTCGAATCGACATCAGGCTGTAGATCAACGACGCAGCTCATTACTTTCTCGGCCACTGCAGTATCTTCGTGCGTTCTACAGGCTGTTAGAAGGGATCCCAGTATGACTTCGTTCGGTTTCATGGGCATGGTTTCGATTACTTTGATTGCAGCTTCTAAGTTTCCTGCTCGACTGTGAAGGTCTACCATGCATCCGTAGTGTTCAATCCTGGGGGAGATTCTGAGCTTCTTTGTCATGAGGTTGAAGTACTTTTGCCCTTCTTCGATGAAACCGGCATGGCTACACGCGGTGAGAGCGCCAGTGAAACTGACTCCATCTGGCTCAAATCCTTGTTTCTGCATCAGTTCGAAGTATTGTAGGGATTCTTCTGCAAACCCGTTTGCTGCAAGACCAACTAGCAATGAATTCCACGAGACTAGAGTTCTGTTGGGCATTTTGTCGAACACCTGGCGGGCTAGCTCCACGCATCCACATCGAGCATACATATCGATCAATGAATTGCTTATCCTGATATTGTCTCTGAATTCTTGTTTTAAGACATAGCGATGGATCCACAATCCCAAGCCCAGCGCGCCAGAATTAGCGCAAGCGGCCAGGACTGAAATAATAGTCACGTAGTCAGGTTCGGCTTTGGAGACCTGCATCTCCCTGAAAGACTCCAGCGCTTGCTCAAAGTAACCCTTTTTAACAAACCCATCGATCAGCAGTGTCCACGAAACTGCATCCCTTTGAGGCATTTCGTCGAACAGTTGAACTGCAACATCCATCTCGTCATTCCTCATGTACCCATCAATCAACGTGTTCCAGGAAACCGAATTCCTCACCTCGAGCTCATCGAAGCAAACCCGCGCCCGCTCCACCTCGCCGCACTTGCCGTACATTTTGACCAGCGCCGTCCCGACCATCACGTGATGCCGATCCAGCCCCAATTTCCGCACGTAGGCGTGAATCATGGGGCCGAAGGACCTGCCTTCCGCTTTTGGGAAATCGGCGCAGGCGGAGAGGAGGGTTATGAAGGTGACGTGGTTCGGTTCGACGGCGGAGAGGCGCATCTGGGTGAAGAGCGAGGCGGCTTGAGCGAGGCGGCCGCTGCGGCAGAGGCTGGAAATGGAAGAGGTCCATGAAACTGTGGGGTCTACTGGCTGCTGATGATAGGTGTGTTGTTTGATGGAAAGGTTCGATTTTGAAGGATTTCGCGTTTGGATTTGGTGCGGCGGTTTCACATCCGGCGGTGGTGATGGCGGCGGCTGGCGGTGTGGGAGTTGGGTGGTTGAAGAAAGCGCGGGAAGCGCCATCTGTTCGAAAGACCGTTTTCAGAAGAAGAAAAGTAGAAACAGAGATGGATTTCCAAATATCATCGAGATTCGAGTGCGGAATCAGAGGGACGTTAGGGTGCAGAACTAGGGATGGCAATGGGTAGGGTCGGGTGCGGGTGTACTCTATACCAACTCCTAACCCGCTGGGTAGAGCTTTCTAAAATACCCGACCAAATAACCACCGGGTATGAAAATTATATAACCATACCCTACCCACCGGGTAACCACGGGTATTCGGGTAACCATGAGTACAAATCCTAAACTATGAACTTATACACATATATGCACATACGTACTGTTGTCCATTGAAAATTCTCAATACTTCTAATTGTTCTAGTTTCAACAATCCACACAAATAAAAACAACAAAAACATAATAATTGTTCTTGCTTCTACAATCCACACAACACATAATAATCGTCTACATCATCATCAATAATGGTAGCTAAACTAAATTTCTCAAGCTAAACTAAATTTCTCAAGGGAAATTGACCCTTTAGTAAGCGGGGCGGGTATAACGGGGCGGGTATTATCGATTACCATACCCGTACCCTACCCTTTATTTTGAAACCGGGTATTACCCGTACCCGCCCCTTAACACGTCAAAGCGGGTAATTACCCTCGTTGACCGGTTACGGTCGGGTAGGGTACCCATGGTTACGGGTTGGATTGACATCCCTATGCAGAACCCTATTTGGTCGAGTAGATGGCGAAGTCAATCTCACCCGTTCATGAGCTCTATATCTCATCTAACGACGGAAGAGAATTAGGGTATTTTCGGAAGCTACAAATGAAGAGAATAAGTAGACAATTTCACTCATTCACTTTCTATCTTGGAGATTATTGAATTCCATTCGTAGTCCATACGAATAGGCTTGGTATGCATACGATCGTATGACATTCAAAATAACTTCAGTTTTCGTAACAAAAATCCAACCTATAAATAAACAGAGTTGATCATGAAAGTCCTTCATGATCAAGTTTCTCAATTGATGGTCCAAATAGTCGAATCAAAAAGAGACTAGCTTGATGGATTATGCATCAAGTGGCGCAACGCGCAAGTACGAGAAAATGAAACACTCTTGATGTTAAGTTTCGTTAACTTCAAATATGAACATAATTATCATCAAGAAAAAAAAAATTAAGGATGAACTTTTACTGTATTGAATTTGGTTAAATGATTCCGTTCATAATCATTCGTAGTAGCATCCCATCGCATTATAGTAATTCGTCATGACATTGCTAAGGAGTAAGGATGAACTTTTACTGCTTTGATAGTGATAAGTTAGACCTTCTCCACAAAAACAAAAGCACCATTGCAGCCACAGAATCTTGCATGCTGCTGGGACTGGATAGTCACATTCGATAGCAACAACTTAACGGAAAGAAGAGTGACAAAGAGAGAGGCATGCAATTTAAGAACACTGCAGAGTTGCACATGGCAAACCCTCTCTTTCACATCTCGCCAATATTACCTAACTAAAATTTCATGAGAACCAAACGCCAAAAGTTTGCTCCCACCGATGTGGATTGATTGGATTGCACCACCTTCTCTTCTCTCCAATTCAATTGGAACCCAATTGTATGGCTTGGTTTCCAATCTCCCTGCATCCACCATGTGGCCTCGTCTATGTCCACATAGGAGGAGGAAAATGATAGAAATTTACGCTAGAAGACCGTCGATGAGTTGAGTTTTAATTTGATGTATTCTTATCTTGTTTTAGAAAACAGAGAGATGATTCAATACTAATGTGTTAGTATATCGCATTGAAATTCAAATCTAGACATATTATATAGAAACTCATAGGCAAGTGTAGTACTGAAAACTATCATCGAAATGGACACCAACTGAGGTTTGGGCCATTCGCGTGCGACATGTTTAACCAAATTGGCTTTGTAGTAGATATGACATATTTTCAAGCGCATTAACCAAACAACGTGTTGCTTCGAGGCGAGTGAAGCTCAGTTGAATCCAACCAGTTGTCTAAAGATCAGGTAATGATGGAGTGAAGCTCTCACAATATATATAGACCTTAAAAATACAAGAAAATTTTGTGGTCAATTAACTTGGTAACGCTTTATCTCCTCCCTTCGAAACTTAAATTTTTCAGCCTCATCACTCACATTGTGTCTCCGCCACTAAACAAAACAACCTATAGAACTGTCTTCCTAAAACCCATTTTCCAAATTAGTAAAACTTTATAAGACCATCTCCCAAATCAGATTGACACCCTGAAAAATCTCTATCATCTTTAGCCCTAATGAAGAGACCAGAAATCACCACTAGGGAAACAAAGAAAAAACAAGTCGAATTCAATCACCTTCAAGGAAGTTGTTATGAAAGTAAACTAGCCAACTCTCAACCTGCGAAAACGAAAACAATGAAATAAACAACAACGGGCTGTCTAGTTTCTATCTATCTACATCACCACCATTTCTGTTTCTTGCCACCTGCAAGAAACACAACAAAACCAAAATGTCCCCTTCCCCAAATCCTCCTCAAAAACCTTGTAATATATCCGGTACAACGAGACATTGACGTGATCATAGCTCAAACTGGATCATCGGATCATCCAATGACTTATCGACAATTACCAGAATTGAAGGAGTCGGGACACCAAGTCGCGCCAGCCGAGTGGCTGCTCTTGCTATCACCACCATAACTCACTGAAGTCGAAGAAGCATCCGAAGAGTTCGTTGTGCCTTTATCATGCCAAACTTTCAGTATCTGCATCAGGGGAGCGTGGAGATCCATCCCCGCGAAGTTCTGAGAAATGTCCTCAGTTGGCTTCCATTTCTCCACAAGTGGTGCAAGAACGTTCACTGCGTGACTCATGTCGGGCCTCTGGCTAGGCTCTCTCGCAGCACAGTGGCCAGCCAGCTCGACGACGATGGCTATGCTCTCGATTGTTTCCTCGGTCTTCTCGAGCGATGGGTCGATGGCGTTCATCATCTTGTCTCGGTCTGATCTGATGTGGTGAAACCAGTCTGGCAGGTACCGGGTTTCCTCAGCACGCTCGTCGTTCAGAGCTGTTAGCCCCGTCAGGAGCTCCATCAGCACCACTCCATAGCTGAACACGTCGGATTTCGTAGTGATCTTTCCAGTCACTGCAACAGCAGAGTGTTAGGTTACTAGGAAAGGGAAGAAAAGATAAGTTACTTGTATATAGAGAACAGTCAAACAATAGCTTGTCATTCAAGTAACATGATCATTTCAAAGTCTTTTTTATCCCATGTTATTTTTCAAAATACATCCTTGTATTCTAAATTTTCATGAACGACCACATCTAGTACGTTTCTTATCTGCTTTCTAGCCTGTCTTAAAAACGTCAGTTCGAATTCATTACTAGTAAGGTCGGATCCATGCTAAGTGAGCACTCCTAGCTAACTCTCATGTCACTTATGTTAGAAGTCCATCTTTGGCCCCTCCACTGTTTCATTAAATTCCAAAATGAGAGATGCTCATAATGAAAGGAGATGTAATATGTAAGAGAAATTCAGGAGCAGAAGCATTTGAAATCCTAAATGTAACCAATTAGATGGAAATTTTCAATCGATGGACCAAATGGAACAACATAGTGCCAAGACATATAGGTGTTTGTTAAAACAGCATAGTTCATGGATTAAAAGTGCCATTAACCCTCTCGAATCATCAGATGATAACTGTTCATCGGTAGAGTAAGTGCGATACTTACCAGCATATTCAGGAGCAAGATATCCAAACGTCCCAGCGAGCTTAGTAGCAACAGAATCATGTCCATTCTGAGCAAGCTTCACCAACCCAAAATCCGAGACCTTAGCACGAAATTCCTCCCCCAGAAGAATGTTGGACGACTTGAGATCTCGATGAATAAATGTCTCCCTAGCCATGCTATGAAGGTACTCCATTCCTCTAGCAACATCAAGGGCAATGCTCAATCTTCTCGTCCAAGAAAGAGGATCCAAGTTAAACTTCTTCCATTGAAAAAGATGTCTACTCAGAGCACCCTGAGACATATACTCATACACAAGTAGCCTCTCGCATCCTTCGATAGCATACCCCAAAAGCGAGACTAAATGGCGATGGCGAGCTTTAGAAAGAACAGCTATCTCAGCTTCGAACTCACCAAGTGCTTTGCTGTTGACCACACCAGCCTCCATTCTCTTGACAGCGATCATCGTCCCATCTTCTAGTTGACCTTTATAGACTGTTCCAAATCCTCCGCGGCCAAGCTCATTCTCTGGGTCAAAGTCATTGGTCACCTTCTTAAGAACTTGGACCGATAACACCATGCCTCCAGAGTCCATCGTGCGAGAGCCTTCGGTTGTACCACTACTCAATGAAGTGTTGGAAAGTGTCCCAGTATAGTTACTTGCGACTGCAATCTTCAAATTACGTTCGGGGTCATATGGATCCCTAGGGTGAACTACAAACAAGCTCGAGGCCCCTGCTGCTTTCTTCCTCTTCATACAGCTTAAATATATACACAAACCAATCACCAAGAGAATCAATAGTGAACCTGCCACAATGCCCGCTATGATTACCAGTTTGTTGCCTTTAGATCTTTCCTTTGCACGGACAGTTGAGTTGGCTGAAGTTGGCACACTAGAAGACGATGGTGGTGAACTTATAATTGGCTTCCTCCCAGGTGGAGTGGTTTGTGAACTTGGAGGAAGTGGAGTACCACTAGGGGGTGAAAGAGGGTGACCTTGATTGACCAGAAGAGGGTTTCCATCAATGACAAGCTTAACACCATCATGGAATTTGGGCAACGGAGGGCTTAGATTGTTGCCACTAACATCCAGCACTCTTAAGGCCTCCAAACTAGTGAAATTTTCAGGAATCGAACCGGTTATATTGTTTCCTTGTAGATTGACATGAAGCAATGAAGAAAGCTTAGCTAGAGAAGGGCTGAGAGTACCGGTTAGATTCCGTCTAGGCAAGTTGATCACAGAGACTTTCGAGTTAGCATCGCAGTTCAATCCGGGCCATGGCACTCCACATGGATCATTGCCAGACCATTCAGAAGCAATACTCACAGGATAATTCAAATCAGCAACAAAATCTAACAGCACATTGACTTGCTCAGCACATGAGAGCCCTGGTTTAGATTGACAAAATGAATTGGAAGCATAACTGACCTTGCTTGCCTTGAACTTTGGGATTGGACCCATGAAGTGATTGTTGTTCAAGTCCAAGTCATCAAGCTCAAAATCAGCCAATCCTTGAGGAATCACACCAGCTAGCTTGTTTCCATTGAGATTGAGCTTTTTCAACAATACAAGACCTCCAATACTATCAGGAATAGTCCCAGTGAAAGAATTCCCCTGAAGCCAGAGTTCTGTTAATGAAGTCATTTCACCAACAACATCCAATGTACCACTCAACCCCCCTCCCTCCTGGTTATTCAGCCACAGAACCGTCATCGAGGACTGACCGAAATTCGCAGGGATTTCACCTGCCAACTGGTTGTAAGAAAGCCTCAGAGAGTTCAGAAGCGGCAATTTGCCTAGAAAATCAGGCAACGGACCAACCAAGTTGCAGCTGGAAATGGACAGATTGGTTAACTGACTGGAACCTTCCAAGGCAGCCGGGAAAGACCAGCCGGCGGTGTGGTTCAAAGGGTTGTAATCCAACGACAGAACTCGAATGTTGGTTAACCCATCGAAGAAATCAGCAGGGATCGTGTCGAAATGATTGAAATCCAAGAAGGCGTATTGCAACTCGGATAAACCTCTGAAAGTCGGCAGCTTGCCGGTGAAATTGTTCTTCTGGAGGCCCAAGTTGTAGAGCTTGGTGAGCTGGTTGAAATTCTCCGGCAGAGAACCGGCGAGGCTCATGTTCTGGACCTGAATCTGGGTCACCCTCCCGTCGGAACAGAACACGTGGGGCCACAGAGGCGGGCCGCACGGGTCATCGTCGCCTTCCTCCGGCCACCGGAGAAGCTCTGGGTTTTCCAGCCCCTTCTTGAAATCCATCAACACTTCGAAGTCGTTAGGATCCGTAACGGCGTGAACCCATTTCAGGAAACACAGAATCAACACCAACCCAACTCTCAGCCGGCTCACATCCCCACTTTCCGCCATTGCCGACAGTCAAATTCTTTTTTTCCCCCCTTTTCTTCCCCCTGGGTTCACAATGTAGCTCGGAATTACAGGAAAAGACTGAAACTTTGGGGCCTGGGCGGCATGAAAAGCGAATCCCAGATGGCGAGACAGGTGTCCAGAGACAGAGTCAGTGAAATTTACACGTAAATGTATACAGAAAACTGAAGCGGCGAGCGACGACGGATAGGAGGAATTTGTGGCCGAAAAAAAGGAGATGAATTTGGTCCTAAATTTTCAGGGGTTTGGATTGAAGAAGCCGATTATGATTACGAGGGGTTGGATTGATCGAGAGAGGGAGGGAAAAGGGAGAGATTTTCTCGAGAGCTCCATTCTTTTGCATTGATGAGTGTCACTCCTTCTGTTCTTCTCCTTCCTTCCTTCCTTCGGCTGCACTCTCTCTGTCCTTCCCTCCTTTCTCTCACTAGTTTAATCGACTGTCTTGTGCTTGATCCTTTTCCTTTTTGTCTGCTTTGGACGAGTTTTCGGTTGGTGGATGAAATGACTGGAGTACCCATCCACCATTTTTAGCACGGTGGGCCACCCTCGGTTCCTTGGATTGCCATTGTTGCCTCATCCTTTGACTCTCTCTTCATGCGCGGTAATGAGTAGTAAGTGACGGTGAACGATTATATTATTTTCTTAATTCTTAATTTCTTCCAAACCGGGTAGACGGTCAATGGGTTAGACCGTCTGCCACAACGTTTAATCGAGTTGATTGATTGTTCAGTTTAACGAAAAGCTTATACTTATAATCGATCAAAATAGAAATTTATGTTTTCTATACCATCGCTCCTAAGTCGGCAAAACCCCCCAAGTATCTTGATGACAGTGAATATGGGAGCTCGAAAGTGAATTGATTATGGGTATGTGTAATTAGCTATGGTCATTCCATAAATCGATGAACGAGTTTTATGACTTTTGATTTAAGAAACTAAATTAAACGGAAATTCGGGCAGGAAATACGAAGAAGAAGAAAGGGAAAGATGATAAGAATTCTATAAATAATACCATTGGGAAATAAGGGAGCATAATAATAATTTTATTAGTTTTGTCAAAATATGTTGTTTTGGTAATATTGTGAATAAGATATTTTTTCCTAATTTGTTTTGTATCTTCTGGTATATTGGTTTGATTCGTTGTTACTTGTTAGTAGTGCGATTCATTCTATTATAACGAACATATTGTGAATAAGATTCATGAATCCAAAAAGAATGAATGGAAATATGCATGCCCATGACCGTTACAACTTACAAATTCCCCAACTATATATTATCGTGGCATTTGGATGATTAGTAGAGAAGAGAGTTTTTCAATTTCTTTAGATTTTGATTCCATAAATCGATTAACGAGCTTTCTGACTTTTATATAGAAAAACTCGAATTAAACGGGAAATCCGGCAGGAAAGAGAAAAGAAGGAGAAGAGGAGAAAATTCTATAAATGATATCATTAGAAAACAAGGGAGAATAATAATTATTTTATATCTTCAAAATATTTTGTTTCTGGTAATATTGCGAATATAAGATTCTTTTCTTGTTTCTTTTGTTTTATTGGGTCGATTCGTTGTTAATCGCACGGTTCATTCTATTATATCGAAAAATATTATTAGATACATGAATCCAAAATCCAATTGAATAAATGAAAAGATGCATGTTCATGGTCGTTACAACTTGCATATCCCCAACCATTACTGTAGCACGTGAATGGATTAATGAAGTTGGTTGATTGTTAGTATAGAAGAGAAGCCCTTCAATTTTTTCAGATTAGATTCCAAATTGAAAACCGTATTTATGGTTGATGGGCAAAATTTTAGAGGGTTACTATTTGCCGCCCGGGCAATTACTATTTGTCGCCCGTAAAAAACACTAAAAGGACAATTTTGCCCTCCAAATATTTCTTTATATTCTATTCGCTGAATGGTTTTTTAAACAACTTACACACTACCCGAGTCCCGACCACCAACCCCCCACAAACACCACAGCCACCGGACGGCAGCCAAACTCGCCGGCCACCGGACCAATCTCGTCAGGATATCGCCGGGCACTGGACGGCAGCCGTACCCCGTCGTCGGACCAGCGAAGCAGGTAAACCTCTTGCTGATCCTGAATTTTTTGTTCGGTCCGCTCGCCGGCGTCGGGCCCCGTCCGCTAGCCGGAGGCGGACCCCGTCCGCTCGCCGTCATCGGACCGCGTCCGCTCGCCGTCGTCGGTCGCCGTCCGAAGCCGGCGAGCGGACGGGGTCCGACGCCGGCGAGCGGACGGGGCCCGACGCCGGCGAGCGGACGGGGCCCGACGCCGGCGAGCGGACGGGGCCCGACGCCGGCGAGCGACGACCGGTTGCATAACAGTGTTGTATGTTTTCCTATTTTATTTCTAGAGCTAATAATTTATAATTTATTGCTTTTATTTCTATTTTACATAGTTAAATTCCTTTGTAGTTTGAATTAAGCGAATCGTATTTTGTTGTAGCGCTAATTAGTTTCTTACTGTCAAATTATCGTTATTTTGTAGAGTTAATTAAATTATTGCATGTAGTTTAATTTTGTAGAGTCAATTGAAGCACAATTAGTTTAATTAAGCGATTGTGTTTTGTTGTAGCCCTAATTAGTTTATTGTGTTTAGATATAATTCGTAGAGCTAAAGATGTTTAAAAATTTATATTAAAATAATTTTCTTATCGTCAAATTATCATTATTTTTTAGAGTTAATTAAATTATTACATTTAGTTTAATTTTGTAGAGTCAATTAAAGCACAATTAGTTTAATTAAGTGATTGTGTTTTGTTGTAGCGCAAATTAGTTTTATTGTGTTTAGATTTAAATCGTAGAGCTAATTTGGTTTAATAATTTATATTTAAATTATCTGTATTTTTTAGACTTAATTAAATTATTGCATTTAGTTTAATTTTGTAGAATCATATAATTTGTACATTTCTAACGAGAGTCAAAATCATAATTGCAGGTGGACATGGCTGACAATGTTGAACTAATTGGTGATTACACAGACCATTTTCTTAATGGCGTCCGATATGCCAATTTCGAAGATGCTGTAACAGAGACCAAAAACATCGCGATGTCTCTTGGTTTCTTTCTAACTAAGGGATCGATGAAGCCACGTGACTTGGGCAACGAAAGATCATTGGGTATCTGTTATATGTATTGCGACAGATGCAGTAGGGAGAGGAAGTCATACAAGCCGGATCCTTCCAAAGAGAGTCGTGGCAATACAAGTTCAAAAGGAGCGGGATGCATGTTCAAGATTAAAATCAAAGAAATACTGGTTAATCCAGATGCTCTTGATGGACCTACATTCTGGGAGATACAAGGAGTCGCGGAGCAAGGAACCGGTTTAAGGCGAGGGTATCACAGTCATGAGAAAATGCTTTATCCCGAGGGCCAGAGTCAAATGAATAAATTGAGTCAGGAGGATAAAGAATCTCTTAAGTAGATGAGAGATGCTGGGGTACCTTCGTCGCAACAGAAGCAGACAATAAACAAGCAGAAGGGTGACAAAGGGCATCACACCCAAAGGCAGATGTATAACCTCGGGTCCAAGTCTAGGAAAGAAGAGATGGGCGAGATGAATGCAGTGCAGTATGCGTTGCTACAAGCTGAACGTGAGAATTATCATACAGAGGTTATGAAGGACGATGACGACGTGCTGACACATCTTTTCTTTGCCCATCCAACTTCCATCCAGATGTTGAAGGCTTGGCCGTACGTGATTCTGATCGACTCAACGTATAACCAACTCGGGGAGGTTAGGATGATGTTGGAAAACTCTAGACAGAAAACCCTTTCAGCATCCGGTGGTACACCATTCACATTCTTGAGAAGGAAGGTCAGCATGCAGGCAATTATATTAATGAAGGAGGCTGAAGAAGAATTGGGTGCCCGCTTGGAAAAAAATGAGAACTCCCGATGTGCATGTCATTTCTCTGTGACACACGGCTTGAGGTGTGGATGTCAAGTTATGGATGGCAGAGCGCGAGACATAGAGATATATCCCGGTGATATTCATATATATTGGCGGACACTGTCATATGAGCATCCACCCAATGCTCAGGAGTACGTTCCCCAGGAGGAGGAGGCTAGATCTCACCTTCGGGAGTTGGTTGATGAGGCTGTACGCAGAGGACCAGAGGCAACTAAAAAAGCAGCAAAGAACGTGTTTCGCGGTCTCCACCCGGCGGAGGACAACATTCACGAGCCAGAAGTGAACGAATTTAGAAAGGGGCGCCCAGCCAAAAAATCAACTGGAAGAATGAAAGGGTGGTGGGAAAAGATACTGCGAGGCAATAAGAAAAGCATGAAAAAGAAGTCGGGAAGCACAACGTCGGGGTCTACAAAGTCGACCAGTACCAAGTCCACGGGGACTCAGACAGACGAGTATCCGTCAGACGACCATGCAGCGGAGGAGTGTGATGACCCAGAAGATAACAACAGATACAACTGTCCTGACACAGGTACAATTTAATTTTTTCATAAGTGTAGTTATTTATATTAATATTTTACATCGCATTTGTGCTGATTACCTATTTCCTTCACAGATATCCCTGGAGCCAGCAGCACCCATTCTGATTACCCACACATGGAACACCTTCCTGTCTTCATTCGGCCGCTTGTCATTGCCATCCACGACCCGGAGCCAGACGGTCATTGTGGGTTTCGTGCACTTAGTTTTGCACTATATGGTAGTCAAGAAGGGTTCACAGGGGTGAGGGCACGACTAGCTGAAGAAATGCGTGAGCACGATTGGCGATACGCACCCATCTACGGTCCCAGCATCAATGATGCAATCAGACGCATTGACATCACTACTACAGCACCAACGACTGAACATCATTGGATGATGGGTGTGGATCTATTCGTATTTGCCACACTATTTAATTTGGCGGTTGTCATGTACAGCACTTACCTCTACCCAACTCCACAATCGTACCCATGCACCATTCTGCCAGTGGACAACATACATGGGGAAGCCCACCCTAGAGGAGTCATTGTTGTGCATTTCGTCCAGAATCATTGGATCAACCTCTCTTTCCCGGCGGACAAGATACCGATGCCCCCTCCACATGCCATGTGGCCAAACGGTCACCAAGAAAGCGTGGATGGATGGGAGACGTATTTCGCGCCGTTTTTTCAAATGTGGTTCGATCTTGGGGGTGCGGCGAGTAACTTTCCATCACGCAAAAAGAGGGGTCCAAAGAAATAAACTTGTACTCGTCTTCAGTTTAAATAAATTGTAATGAACGTCTTCAATTTAAATAAATGGTAATGAAGTTTGTTTACGTCACATGGAAGCATGATATAATAAAAACATCCAAAGTACAACATAAACCACATAAGTCATTATCAGATTACACAAATAACATAAGTCATAGTCCCAAAACAACAAATAAGCAACTGAACACCACATAAGT